CAATCAACCCCAGAATTTGAGTGCATTCTCAAGGATCTACAAGCTAATGCAATACATCAGAGTCCATATGAGGGATGAAATTTCTCACATTATCTCTTAATATACAGATTTGTTTTACTCTTCAAATATGTCTTTACAAATATATATTTATATATTTTATTCCTTTCAATAAAAAATTCTAAACACAAACCAGTACCTTTTAAACAAGAAAAACGGAATTCTACAGTCCAAAATGAAAGACTTCTAATACAAGGGCTGCTGTGGCACTTCTACCATTTGGAACATCCTGTCTGCACAATACAAGGTTCTGTATTATTACTGCTGTGTATGAGGTAAACTTGAACCAGTTTTACATGATTGTTTACTTAAAGGAGATAACGCATTCAAGTTTTTTCCCTAAGATCTGCTATGGAAGAACGGGGTTAAAACACAAAAAAAGGCCACTTGTGGTTCCAACCATATTGTGCTGTCGTCTAGAAAGAAAGTCAATTGATACCAAAAAAAAAAAAAAGAAGAAGAAAGAGGAGGCTATTCCAGATACACTACAAACCTGAACACCAAAACCAGTCAAATCAATTTAAATACTTTGATATGGCAACACAAAGATTTTGGGGGTGGGATGGGGGAAAAACAATTTGTTGGTTCAGTTTTACACACAAGTACCCCCCATATGTGCCAGTTCAAACACCTCTGAAATTCCTGTCTATGGTAACTACATTTCATGAATTCTGATGGGAGTTAAGATGTTTTGCTTTCAACACATGATATGTAGAATAAAACCTAGTCTTACAAAAATGCTAGACTATTTTAAGGCACAGTGAATTTGGAAGAAATTTATCTTCTAGTGTAGCTACTGTATACCCTGGCTTCCTGATTCCTAAACATATTATGTGGACCTTCCACTGAAAACATTTGCATTTACTTCCACATAATGAGTTTGGAATGGAGGTTTCAGAGTGTATAAATAGATCCACCAAATTATGTATCTTCATGTTAAGCGAACCCACGGTCCCCTTGTAAGTAGTGCAGAGATGGCATGCGCTTGTGTCAGACGTAGGCTCCCAATGCTGCATGAAATTCTGTGAGGCACTGTACCAACTGCTGGAATTTGGGTCTCTCCTCCGGATCTAGCGCCCAGCAACAAGCCATCACAGCAAATCTACAAGATAAAGCAAGCAATGGTCAGGAAGCTTGTCACAAGGTCATCCCTCTTTGCTTCTTTCCTGCAGTGACAGTTCTAAGGTCAATATCTGTGACTAATTCATTCCTATAAGGTCTGGACATCCTTCCCTTTTGAAAAAAATTCAATGCTTCTTAAATTACAGCCACAATTATGTTACTTGGCTCTTTTTTCCTAGCTTACAGCAGCAACTGATTCAATTATACTGAGTGCATACGTGTAACATGATCTTTTCTTGGTTGCAATAGTTTTAAGGGGCTTCTTTAGTATTCCTCAGTTATTAAGAGAAGAATGTAATAAAGTCAAACATTTAAGCATGTTTAGGTGTTGTGAATATTACAAGCTTCACATCTGATCCTTTGTGGTCACAGCCATCAGCAATTAAGCAGCACTGTAACCACCTCTTGGTATGAGAAAAAGAGATATGACCCATCTTCCTACCGCAATGCCCCACACACCAAGTCCCACCAACAGCAATGACCCTTGTTGTATCAACAGACCATTGTGGGAAAAGCAAGCAAATCATACAGGCAGACATCAGATCTATTCTACACTTCTGTTGACCATATATATCACTATTCCACCTATCCTTCTTCCAGGAATCTGTCAGGAAACATGGTATGGAGAAAACAGTGTGTAGGGAGAGAAATACACTCTGGGACACATGTACCTTTCAGGGAAAAACAGCAGAACTGAGCGCATTACTTTTTAAAAATGGTGTGTAGCAGTGTTCCCTCTAAGCTGAGTCAGTGTGAGCTAGCTCACAGTTTTTTAGCTTCCGGCTCACACATTTTTGTCTTAGCTCAGTAAGGATGGCTCCAGAGCAAACTAAATGATGCAGTAGCCCAATCGCTCACTCACAACTTTAATGCCAGCAGCTCACAAAGTGGAATTTTTGCTCACAAGACTCCACAGTTTAGAGGGAACACTGGTGTGTAGTAATCAAAGGGAGTTTTAACAATATTTAATTGCCTGCTCTCAGGCTCACTACATCTCAGTTCAGCCAAAGCTATCATTCCATCTCACATTTTGACTCCTAGCATAGAAAAAATAGAGAAAAAACTTAGATTACAGGAATGTAGTACTATTATTTCAAAACATAATAGATTATAGGAATGTAATACTATTCTTTCAAAAGAATTAATACTAATGTAATGGGACATAGCAGCAGTCTTGTGACTCCAAACAATCTTATTAGTCATCACTTACAGTTCATCGGGACAGTTGATAGGCTGAGCTATTCTGTATCCATCTTTTAGATAGGCAGCCATCTCAAAGGGGTCGATATCAACATACGGAGTTTGGCCTAATGTCATCAGTTCCCACAAGCTCACTCCAAAGGACCACTGGAAAGAATATTCCAAACAATAAAAGATTGTATTTAGAAGTGTTGTTTCCATTCTCTTCCAGAAGTGTCAATGATATGCAAATATTTAAAATGCACAGCCTCTCTTTTCATTCATTTTTCATAAAAATATCGAACACAGATATCTAACTTTTTTACAACTGCTGTGGTATGAACAGGCCTGTCAGTCCCCTACTACTAGGATCATTAACTACTACTAGAGTTCACTTCAAATACACACACACACACACACACACACACACAGGTGGCATTTGTGGGGTACGTATTTTGTAACATTACTAAGCAAGCTTTATGGCAGAGTTTATAGCTCCAAAATACACACTCAGAAAAAGTGTCATCTATTCATCTCACTTTATTAAACACTAGAATAACAAGAGATAATACTTTTGCTTGAATGAGTTTGCTATTTAAGTAGAAGTAGCCATATTTAACACAGTTATTTTCCCAAACAGAACTAAGTTCTCTCTGAATAAACAAAAGCTGGTGAACAATTCTGATACTAACAGTGCTATTAATATTGTCCACATTCTTCTAATCCCATTCTGCGTCTCATTATCACCACTACACAGCTCTGTAGCTAGACATTATTCAGGGGGGGCACAGAGCGGGCATGGTGGCTAAATTAATTAAAGAACACCTTGCTATAGGAGGGGCAGAGTGTATTGCAGACACACACACAGAGCTCTGTTTTGCTCCCCCCCCCCCCCCGGGTACTGCTGCAGGCCAGGCCCTTTGCACATGTTGGGATCATCGACCCTTCCTCCATGCTGGATGACATGTACACCTTGTACTACCCACCACCAGCAAGAAGAGATTCATGCTGGAGGGGTGGGGGTGAGTGGGGCTTCCCCAGGATTTCAGCTTTGTCTTGGCAGGTATGAGTGGGGGAGGAGAAAGGTGTTCGAACCAACAATCTTCTGCATCCAACTGGAGAACGGGGCCAGGGATAAGGCCACTGATAAGGAAGATCTCAGGCAAAAGGAGGCTTACCTTCCAAACAGCCCCACACAGGGAAAGGCCACTAGAAGCCACCAGCCCTGCCCCTGCCACTGGCCAGCATGGCCCCGCGAGCCAGGCACTCAGAGAGAAAGAGACTAGGCGGGGGGGGGGGGGGGGTTGTCGCTGCAGCCAAGACAGGCACAGCCTGGCATCCCTGGGTTTTCCTCCCTCCCTTCTCAGTGCCGAGGCTTCCCTGCCAGCAGATCCCCACCATACGTTGCTAGAGGGTTCTTAATTTGGGGACCTTCTGCTGTTCTTACTTGAGCTGGGGCTGGAACCTGGGGTGCTGTGAATTGGGGGGGGGGACATCGCCCTGTGGGCCCCATGGTAGCTATGGCCCAGCCACTACATGTATTAGCTTAACAGGAGAACCTCCCACTGATTTAACCTGAATGCCTAGAAAGCATAATCCAAGAAACAGTGACAATGGCATCAGAATTACTGATATTAATTTAAAACTGATTTGTTACAGTTTTATTTAAATGCTACTCAGATTACTTCAGAAATAGAATGTACATAAAGCAGCTTTATGCCAAATCATATGTTCTATGTTGTCTACTCTAGCAAAGGTGCATCTTACAAAGCTATTAGGCAAAGGAGCATCTTCTCAGCTAGTAAAATATATGTAGCCAATGTTTCCTTCCATCTGGAAGTGGGATTTAAAATAACTGAGTGTATAGATTTAAGAAACTGTATATGTTAAGCAGTTAAAAGTTTAAGAAGTTGGAAATGTCTTCACTTTCTTGCTGATTCACCACACTACTTTGAGTTTGACCATTCATCATTAGCTTGATCAACTAAAACCAAGGCAATTAAAAAATGGCAGAATGCTCTAGCTTCTTCCAACTAGTTGTTGCTTGTACAAATCTGAAGCTTTGAAAAGATCTGTTGAATTTGGTTTACACTCCTGAAATACAAATGATACATTTAAGAGCTCAACTAACAAGAGAACTGCCTTCTGCCTGGATGCTGTGCAAGCATGTGCTACTCCTTAAGATAGGACCTAGAGTAGATGTGACATGTCCCAAGAAATACATGGTGAGAAAAAGGCATAACATTTCGCTTTTGTTGATAACTTACCACATCACTAGCACCAGAAAACTCATTGTTAACCAAGCTTTCAAGAGCCATCCACCGCACTGGTCTGTTTTCATTGTCTCCGAGGCAATGGTAATCCATGGGAAATAGATCTCTGGACAGGGCATTATCTGTAATCTTTACCTGAAGTGCATCATCAATGCTGCATATTAAAATAAATACAGACAAGAACTTAAGACAGGCCATAAAACTATTTATATACAGGTATTAAGTCATACGTAGGGAAGGTGGCATGGTATAGTCCGATCTCATCAGATCTCGGAAGATAAGCAGGGTTGGTACTTGGATAGGAGACTGCCAAGGAAGACTCTGTAGAGGAAGGCAATGGCAAATCACCTTTGCTTCTCACTTGCCTTGAAAGCCCCTTGCAAGGGTCACCATAAGGTGGCTGTGACTTGACGTCACTTATATATGTATATATTAACTCATACTTTGAAGTGCTGCTTATGTAACCCTCAAGACAATGACTGAATGCATGTTAGGTACAACAGTGTTCACTTACAAATATAGGTTTAACAACTGAATTCAAGATATTCCCCTTGGGAAACATTGGCAAGCATTTAGAATTAGAAAAAAAGGTCACTATAATCATGAATATGTGCAGAGGAAAGGCTCATACATTGCAAGGACTCCTGGAGAGACAACTTCCTGTGGAATGCCTGTGTTGTCCTTGGAGGCAACACTGCAAGGTAGCCCAGCCTTCACTGACAAAGAAATAACTATTAAAGAACATTGTACCTAAAAAGATTCTCAAGGTAGCTCAACAAAGGGGTAGAGGCTAAGCCCGTTCTCTGCCCTTGGTGAACCAAGCCACACATCAAGCCTGCTTGTATGAGCATACGAGTCTGCATTCTGTTTCCTTGTCACAACAGAGTGGGGTGCAGTGTTGGGAACTGGCTTTACCACCACCACCATCACTCTAAATAGCAAATTTGACTGTCCTGTGCACATCAGTAGACTCTCCAGACATGCAGAACGGTATCTGTAAATATTCAGATAACATTCAGCTCTATCTCACACTTGCAACTGGTCACAGGGAGGCTGTAGAAACCCTAAACCAGGGTGCGGAGGCAGCTTTGGAGTGGATGCAGGCTAATATACTGCAACAACTCAAAAAAGATAGGAAGTTTTGGCCACTATGGTGCATGCCATGGTTATATTAGATTAGATTACTCCTGAGAAGTGTTTGGAAATGTCAACTGGTGCTAGGATGCTGCTGCTAGGATGTTGACTGGAGTGGATTGTAGGGACCATATCACTCCAGTCCTGGCCCATTTGGCTCCCAGTTTCTTTCCGGGCACAATTCAAGGTGCTAGTACTGACCATTACAGCCCTCTATAGTTTGGACCAACATAACTGAAGGACTGCCCACTCCCTTGTGAACCTGCCAAACCACTGTGGTCATCTTTGCTGGCCCTGCTTCGGGTGCTCCTGCCTTCTGAGACTAGGTCTAGGAAAAGGCCTTCTTGGCCATGGCACCAAAACCTGGGAGCTCTCTCCCTAGGAAGATTTGTCTGTCACCTTCAGTTGCCATCTTTTGCCACCAGATGAAGACTTTTTTGTTTTGTTCAGCATTCCCTCAAAGATCCCTCCTTCCTGCCTAATGTTTTAATTTTTTTAACGTCTGTTTTTAATGGTTTTAATGATTTGTGTGAAATTTTTGGGCTGGTTTTAGTTTCCAAATGTGATTTTATTATGTCTTGTTAGTCACCTTGGTGCTCTTATAAGGGCAGAAGGCAAGATATAATGTTTGAACAATAAAAATAAACAGTCCAAATATGCTCATTTCCCTCCAGGAGCTATGGAACTAATAGCTTTCACCATCCTGGAGGATTGTTCAACTCTACTTTTTCTCCCCAAGATGCTAAAAACATGGAAATACTCATGTAGCTTCAAAATGTGCCCTGGCAGAGAGGATTAATTAAAATTAGAAGAATGCCACCTCCAGTCCTATTTAATGGTATGCATGTGGACACTAGTGTTCCTTCTAAGGTGAGTTAGTGTGAGCTAGCTCACAGTTTTTTAGCCTCCGACTCACAATTTTTTTTCTTAGCTCAGGAAGGATGGCTCCAGAGCAGACTAATCCATGCAGTAGACAAATCACTCGCTCACAACTTTAATACCAGGAGCTCACAAAGTGGAATTTTTGCTCACAAGACTCCATAGCTTACAGGGAGCCTTGGTGGACACCCAAGAGTGCTGTGAGCTGCAAAGGGGATGGAGCTCCTAACCTCACATGCACTCCATTATTAGGACCAGGGACGGCACTGAATGAGGAATAGAATTAGAGGCAGTGGCTGCTTGCCGTGAGACGTGCATTCCCCAGCCTTATTTTCACTTCCTACATTCTCTCATACAATATTCATCTCTCCTTCCCAGTGCACCTTCACATCCTGGCATTATATTACCCTGGTTCAGACTACATGAACAGGTTCCATGCTTGAATAGTCAGCACAATTGTGTAATAGTACTCGAGAGAACTCAAGAGCTGAAGTTCAGTCTTAGGTGGCCACAATATAGCCCCAGAGCTCAGCAGTGTTGAAATACTGTGTCACAGGGGGAGGGGGGGGTAGTCTGTTTCTTGTTACCATCATTGGGCTGCTTGCAGGTCCGGCAGTAAAGCAAAGGCAATTTTATCTTGTTACCACTTGGTGAATTGCATGCTATTGATGATGGCCAACATCTGCCTCACCAGCTGATTCTTCAAGCCAACTTAATGGCTGCAGTACTAATACTCTGTAAGCATCTCTTTGGCATTCTGCATCTACACCTCTGTAAGATGGGTGCAGCTACAAGCCAGTTATGGAAGAGGGTGGTTTGAACACAGACCAAACAGGAAGACACTTCACAGTACATCTTGAACGGACACAGAGTGTCTTTAACTGTATAGTAGTACTTACACACAGTTTCTAGCAGCCAGGTCTTTGTGAATGACCTCTCTTCTAGCTAAGTAGCTCATTCCGCAGGCAATTTGAATAGCCATATGTACAAGATCTTGCTGTGAAATTGCCTACGAAAGATGGTTACAATTAAAAAGGTTTTTGGAATAGAAACCCATTATTTGGTCAATATTTTCTAGCTGTCCAAAGTACAAGGTAGTGTTTTCTCCAGTACTATGAAAAGGGTGTTTGTACTAAAACACAGGGTTCTTTGAACCCCGGTAATCCAAAATCTCAGTGAGCATTTGCTATTTTAGTGGTGAAGATGGAAGATCAAGATTTGTCTCCCTGCCTGCTGCCTTCCAGTGGGAGGAGACTAGAAACATTTGTTCCTTCAGTACAGGTAACAAGGATTTGTAGTTCCAACTTTTGGCAAGGCATAGACAACATGCACTAGGTGCAGAATTTAGGTTTCCAGGATGTTGAACTCTGTCAACGACCAAGCCAAATTTCTAGTTCCCATGCTGGGGACACAGGCTTGAAAACATATGGAAAAATAACTGGTAGCCTCAAAAGCCAAACCAAGGGATTTGGCTTTAATGACCCTGCAAAGGTCTTTGCCCTTCAACATGACTAAGAGAAAGAAGTTATTTAAAAATGCATGTGTGTAACATTTTATAAAGGTCATATTTCAGCTGTTCCTGATGCAGAATTTCACTGTTCCTAGGAATACAGCATCTTGTCTAGACAGAGGTAACATTCCAATTCAGAGGCCCATTAACAATCTGTATTGAAATACATTAATATCATATGACATAAGCTATCTTGTGCTGAACATTCTTTGCCAAGTTTAGTGGGCCAATGTCAAAAAAAGAACAGCATCTGCTCTGAGAGAAACATAAAAGAACACTGACTCTAAAGAGTCTTTAAGCATACTCAGGCTGAAACTCCCCTATAATATGATACAGTAAATCAGGACTTGGGTTTTTAACTATTGCTTTGTGCTTAGAAATTGTTTCACATGGAAGACAGAACTTAATGCTGAAGAATCAATTTCTGGAATGAAGGGAATGCAGGAGCTAGTTATGCACTTCAGAGATTAGCACCCCAAGTACTGAACACATGTGGCTTTTCCACACTAAACACTGTCATGTTTTAGGACAGAAGCTACTAGAACACACAAAGGCTTAAAGTGGTGCACAATTATGATATAGCTTATGAGACTTCAAGTTAAACAAGAGCACACTATGACAAATGAGTGCAAACCTTTTCCTGTTTTTGCCTATTTCTTGCCTCCTCCGTGATGTTTGGGGTGTGTGTGTGTGTGCGTTCACTTACCTTCTGAGGCAGAATTTCAGTGGGGAGAGAGTCCCATTTAACACAGCACAGTTTTACTCATGCTACACAGGATCCAAGTCTAATTCTTCAAACCATACCATGCTTATACTTAATTACTAATACTAGCAACTTTCTAAAAACGAAAGAAGCCTATTTCCTTTGTAAAAGACTCTACTGCATAATAAATTCTTCATAATGATTAATCCCTTACAAAGTCACCATATTGCTTGACAATTTAAATATTAACGGCAGTGCCAAACTATTTTAAGTTTACAACCTCTTACCTGAGGATTGTTGGCTTCTACCAGTTTGCACTGCCGCAAAAACAGCTTGAGGTTCCCCCAGTTCATGTAAGGCAAGAGCACCATGGGCTTTTCTCCTTCTTCTATACAAACATGAGTGATAGGAAGGAGATTTCTGAAAGAAGGAATAGTTCTAGTTGGTTCCTTTGCTAGATACACACAGAGAAAAACTGATAACCTCACTTTACATACATTCCTAGGATGTGCCCTGTACTAGTGATTGGTCAGCAAATCCCCCCCAGCCAAATTGCAAATATTTTCTATACTTTTTACATCTACAGATCTTTTTGGACAGCAGCTTCAGTGAAATATTAATTAGGACAATTATGTATTTACCTACTTGCTACATTTTTATCCCACCCTTCCTTCAAGGAGGTCAGGGCACTATTTATGGTTGTCCCTCCACTTCAATTTTATCCTCACAAAGCTGTTGGATCCTTGTTAGATAGGATAGACTAAGAAACTGGCTATTCTAAGATCATCCAGCAAGTTTCATGGCTGAGTGGGGATTTGGATCTGGGTGTCTCAGATGCTAGTCAGACATTCTCACTACTATACCATGCTGTCGATGAGTACACATCCAATGCATCATGTTAAAGTATTGTTATTCCATTACCTCTTTAGTCAACAGTGCCATGCCTAAAAAGTTTGTGATGTCCATATTACATGAGTACCTCACAATTACCTTTTCCCTGATCTAACCATTTTAAAGTGCTCTGTATTTCTTGCCTCAATATGTAATACATCTTAGTTATGTATTCCCCTGGAATGCGGTTAGTAGATTTGATTTTTTGTTTTGTTTTGTTAAAACCACTCTGTGAGGAGATTTAGGTTTACTGGTTCAGTGTTACCCAGCAAGCTTGGTGACTGAGCAGGGATTTGCCCCCATTTAAGCCCCAAGCTGTATCACACTGCTCTCCTGTGTATTCTTAAAGTCAAATGTATAAAATGGTACAAAGGTTGATACGGTGATTTTGTGTTTCTAAAAAATAAAAGTCTCTATCCAAGTGTTTAACAAGGCTACAGAGTGTGGTGGTGGGGACACTCAGAGGACTGGCAAATATTCTATGATTCCATTAAAACAAATAACTGAGTAAGAAGGTCAGAGAACAAATGCTTTAACTTGTTACTTATTTTCAAACTAAAACACACATCAATAATAAAAAAGTAATGGCTCAGTATATTTAATATTACTTGCATTTTAAAAGCACAGATGTTATTTAGGATTTCTGAACATTCTCCTTATCATCTAGCTGAAAGACCTTACTCATTCAGATTCTCAGTTAACAAATTACAACAAGAGAATCTCTACCAACAGTACCGTATTTACTCAAATGGAAGACAACCATGAAGGTAAGACACCCACATAAAACGTTACACAGAAAGATTTTAAATACTGAACATAACTAACTTGTATGTACATTTATTTATTTATTATTTAATTTGACTTTTATTCCACTCTCCCCACAAGCAGGCTCAGGGCGGGTCACAAATCACAAAGAAACAATATAATCAAGTAGTTAAAACTGTATTTCTCATAAAACCCAAACAAACACAAAATGGTGGATTCGCCTTGACAGCGATGCTCAGTTTGAGCTGGTTCCATTTGGGCAGCATTGTCAGCAGGGGAGACTGAGATAGAATTTGGATGTCCGCTGCCTCACCCAAAGGCCCAGAAGAACAGCTCCATCTTGCAGGCCCTGCAGAACTGTAACAAATCCTGCAGGGTCCAAATCTCAAGAGGGAGCTTCTTCCACCAGGCTGGGGCAGGGCAGAGAAAGCCGAGGATGGGTGAGTGGGCATCATACTGGCAAATGGGGTTCAATGTGGCCAAGTGCAAATTGATGCATATTGGGGCAAAAAATCCTAACTATAAATACACATTGATAGGGTCCGAACTGGCAGAGACTGACCAAGAAAGAGATCTTGGAGTCGTAGTAGATAACTCAATGAAAATGTTTTATTGCAACTGCAATAAAAAAGGCCAACACTATACTGGGGATTATTAGGAAGGGAATTGAGAACAAATCAGCCAGTATCATAATGCCCCTGTATAAATCGATGGTGCAACCTCATTTGGAATACTGTGTGCAATACTGGTCACCACACCTCAGAAATATTATAGCATTGGGAAAAGTGCAGAAAGGGGCAACTAGAATGATAAAAGGGTTGGAAAACTTTCCCTTTGAAGAAAGGTTAAAGCGCTTGGGGCTCTTTAGCTTGGAGAAATGATGACTGAGGGGTGACATGATAGAGGTTTACAAGATTATGCATGGGATAGAGCAGGTCGAGAAAGAAGTACTTTTCTCCCTTTCTCACAATACAAGAACTCGTGGGCACTCCGTGAAATTGTTGAGCAGTCGGGTTAAACAGATAAAAGGAAGTACTTCTTCACCCAAAGAGTGATTAACACATGGAATTCACTGCCACAGGAGATGGTGTCGGCTACAAGCATGGACGGCTTCAGGAGGGAATTGGATAAATATATGGAGCAGCCACAAGGTATAGATAGGAACTCTTGGTCCGGGGAAAATGATGCTCTGTATTCTTGGTGCTTGGGGGGGGGGGACAGTGGGAGGGCTTCTAGTGTCCTGGCTCCACTAGTGGACCTCCTGATGGCACCTGGTGTTTTTGGCCACTATGTGACAGAATACTGGACTGGATGGGCCACTGTCCTGATCCAACATCGGCTTCTCTTAAGAGCCGATTGAAACTAAGCCAGGCGGGGAGAGGGCAGGAGACGGAGTATGCAGCGGCGGGGCTGGCGGCCCTGTAATGCCCTGAATAATACCTCTAGGGCAGAGTCCGGCTGGTTGTCCATCAACTGATGACAACCCAGCCCATACCTCCAGACCAACTGGGCGAGGGGGCGCATATAGATGTTAAACGACATCAGGGAGAAAATTTAAGATACTCTTCCTTCTTTAATGACATACCTGGAAAAATACCTAGTCTTGCATTTGAGTAAATACAGTAGCTGCTTAAGATGATTTTGGTTTAACTGAGTCTACTTCACTTTTGCTAGGAGGGCATGACCTATTTAGGACAACTGCATCTGTCATTTCATGTAAGACTAACTGAAACTTGCATTCTGTGAACTTTGATACAACTTGGCTAACACTAAGAGTACCCAAATCCCACCCCCACCCTCCAAATGCAAGCCTGATGTAAGCAACAGAATTCACAGCTTGATATTCTGCCCCTTCTGTGACTTAAAGAACGCAATATCAGATTAATCCAGTGGAATCAGACCAAAGGAAGCCTACAGGTAGGAAGTGAAGGCAACGTTCCACCCCTGCGGTTGCCCTACAGCAACTGCTTTAAGAGGCGCGTTGATGCTGATTACAGAGTTATTGTTAATAACTGATAGACCCGTCTCTCATGAATGTATCTAATCCTCTTTGAAAGCTGGAAAAACCAGTAGCTACCACCACCACCACACCTTGTGGCAAAGTACTAATCCTGAGAGACATTTCTATAGAAGAAAGCAAGACTTGCTTTCACTAACAACTGCTGCTCCCCTTATTCCCAAAATAAATCAAAATGTTTCATTTTCATCTTAATAAATTAACAGTGCTAACCTGTGATGAAGGCCTCTGAGTTTACAGCTTTCTGTCAACATCATTGTCACTTGAACTTCTGAGGCTTGATCTAAAAAGTCAAATGTTTTTAATAGCAACTTTGCAACAACCGTAGAAAAGCACATGAATAAACTGATGAATGGGTAAAATGAATCCTACACAAAGCCTTAAGTCTTTAGTACAGTACCATTTACTGAGGCTTCTTAACACAGAGAATGTAAAAATGGCTGGGCTGTACAGTGACCTACATTTGCTAGCTATTTAGACACTAGTTGAACCTAACAACTACAGCTCAAAACCATCGCATAACTTCTCCTTCTAAAGGCACTCTTACAGGGTTCTCTGGGCCTTCAGTATACTATAAAAGCACTACCCAAGGCCTATAAGACTCATAGCACCTCGCCAAGCCCTCACCTCTCCCTCCCAGATCCTTTCTTGTCCATGTGCCTGATATAGCCCTATATGGCCAGGGTCCAGCATACCTAAGGGACCGCCTTTCCCCATATGTTCCCCCAAGGGCACTACGGTCAGGGACTCAACACCTCCTGGTAACCCCAGGCCCTAAAGATACTAAGCTTGCTGCAACCAGGGCCAGGGCTTTTTCGGTGGCGGCTCCTACCTGATGGAAGGAGCTCCTGGAGGAGATCTGAGCCCTGCGGGACCTTGCACAGTTCCACAGGGCCTGCAAGACAGAGCTCTTCCGCCAGGCTTTTGAGTAGGGGCCGCCACCGTTACTGTACCACCGCCGCACCCCCCCCCCCAACTGGGTTGGGTAACATCGGGGGGGGGGGGGGTTGCGATGGCCCTGGGATGAAGAATGAAGGGTATTGCTGCCTGGAATGATACGATTTGAGATTACCATCACCAGAATCCCATATTGCTACTGAGGACTTTGAGACAACTTGAGCACCCTGTACTGTATAATTGATTGATTGTTTTATCAGGTTTTAGCTGTTTTAATTATTGGCATGTGTGCCTCATCTGTAAGCCGCCCTGAGACCGCTTGCGGGAAGGGTGGCCTATAAATCTAATAAATAAATAAATATGAAGTCCTGGGCTATGTGTAGGATATTAAGATGTGTATGAAACTACATGCTGATACTTTCTTTTCCTCATACAATTTCCCCACGCTTCTAGTTTTGTTTAAGCACCAACCAAGAACAAACCAGGCCAATGAGCCCTAAGTGGCCAGATTTCTGCTTGGTTGGGGGAGTGGGTGGCTGCATATTAAAAAGTGACTTTAAATCTCAAAGCGCCATTTAAGTACAGGGGGAACGGAACAGGATTTTTTTAAAAAAAGAAACGAAGTACATCTTCAATTCTGGTCCTGTGGACCTTGGCTAAGCTTTCAAACGATTCAGAAGCACTACACTGAATATAAAGTAACATACAGGGTTAGAATTAAAAAATGGATCTAAATTATAAGTTTACTATTTGTACACCCTTTTAATTTGAGTGGTAATATGACCCTTAACTATTTTTTCCATTTAGTTAAGGTTCATATTACCACTCAAATTAAAAGGGTGTACAAATAGTAAACTTATAATGGAACCTTAACTAAAGGATGCACCATTCTTACAGTCATCCTTAGTAGGTTTACATGATGAAACAGTTTTAAAAGATTCCATCACAAATAAAAATTAAAATCTAGTTTTTGGATCCAACCAAGATTTCCATGGGCACAAGGAGGGGAGCATCCCTATTAGCATAGACTAGCCTGATTTCAACAGAGCTTGGAAGGTAATCAGGGCTGGCCCCAGTTAGTACTTGGTGGGTGACCACCAAGGAAGACTGGGAATGCTATTCAGGGGAAGTCAACAGCAAACCACTTATGCTCATTTCTTGCCTTGAAAACTCGATGAGGAGGAACTTCATGGGGTCACCATCAGCTAGCTGCCATACCACAGCACACTTTAAGGTGGGGAGGTGATTTCTGATTATTCCCCCCTCCCAGGAGAGACCTACAATGCCCCCACCCCCAATTTCTAGAGGTCTCCTGTCCCTCAGGAACAGTATTTTGGGGATGTCTTGGGCAGCTGTGGGAGGGAGGAATGGGTGAAAGTCAGCCCCTGTGTGTGCAGAAATCTAGGCGGAATACAAACCTAGATATTATATGTTATAAATTTCATTCTCACCTATAGCCATTTTATAGGTAAACATTACATCTCCAAAGTATGCCTACTTAATGGATTAATTAAACATTATATACAGGTCATACTTTCAGTTAAGTGCACTTGTAAGGCCACTCAGCAGTCTTTGGCTGCAAGCTTCCTCCTACAAAGGGCTGACAAAAATTTTTTAGCAGCTCTTCCTCAACATACAGGTTAGGGCAACAGACCAGTCTTACTCTCCTTTACCCCAGAAAGTCACTCCCGTTTGTACTGTGAACATTTTGATGCCTCACCCCCTTCTTCTCCTCCCAAGAATGTATCAGGCAAAGCAAGCTGGAGCATTTTTTTTGAAGTTGTTTGCAACTGCATCCAATGTATTATTTATTTTAATTATGCATTTTTAACCTGTCCTTCCCCCTACGATCTCAAGGAGGCATACATGGATCCCCTTCCCCCTATTCTTTTTCTTCACAATCACCCTGTGACACAGGTTAGGCTGAGAGTATGGGACTTCTCCAAGGACAGCAAGTGAGAGTGATGGCAGAGTGGGACCCGAACCCAGGCTTTCTTGGCGGTAGTCTGACACTCAAACCCCTGTGCCTCACTGGTTCTCAAAGAATGCGCATGACAAACCACAATCCTCAAAAGGTTCTTTGACTGGACTTTAAAGTGCCAATGTGCCTCACAGTTGATCCAAACAATTTGGGTTTGTTTTGGTAAACCTGCTCTCTGAATGACAGACTTTTCAGCAATGAATTGCTGAACATTGAAAAAACGATTGACCTGAATTCAAGTATATACGGAAATTCAAATCTTATCTCATAAAACAGTTCCAGCACTTGCATTGTGTTTTCTTATCAAAATTATTTCCTTGTTTCTTAAAAGTCAACCCGTTCCTTCAGCAAAACACATTATGTAAGTTTAACCCATACTCAGAAGGGTAGATTGTGTAACTCAATCTGTAATGAATTACACTACAAAAATTCATGAGTCTCAGCTAAGGCACAACAGACAGTGAGAATTAGTTAAATACTGTAGAAGTATTATAAACCAGAGGATTCAAAAGAAAAACAGTTCATTCTTACTATGGTTGGAGTGTATTTAGCACATTAAAACCTGCAAAAATTGCAGACAGTGCAGGAGGACCCAAGGAACAACTGGTTGGTTGTTGTTGCTCCTTGTTGATCAGGCCCCACTGAACCCCTTTCAATAAGATGGGAACGGGCCCCAGACACATATCGAAAGCTGTTCAGTAATATTAAGCTGGTTTGCACTAAAGGAACTCTCTCCTGATGCCACCCAAACCTCAAAGGGGGCTGTGCAGGCTTCAAGCTTAACGAAAAACATAAATCCTAACTATTAACTGAGTGGCAAAACATGACAAACCCTTTTAAGGTGTTGGGGCTTAAGGTGTACATGTTCCTATACGCTCTGGGAACACAGTACTTAGAGGACCAGATCCTCCCATACTGTCCTGCTGGACAATGAGACAGTGACTGCAGGCTCTCCACAGTGCTGCTTCTCTGTGTGAAATGTGCTGAGTTCCCATGGAAGTTCCTCCCAGTCTATGAAATGGCCTCCCATTGGAAGTCCATACGTCCCCTTCCCAGTCCGCTGTTCAGCAACAGCTAAAAACGTCTATTTTGTCAAGATGGCTGACTAGTCTGAATTTATTCTGTAATGACTGTTTTATGTTGATGACTGTGCTCATGACATCTGAAAATACAAGTAAACAATAGGACACCATCTATTAAAAATTATATTGTGGAAAGGTCATTATAAATATTTAGTATACAGTAAACAAATAATAATCTATAGATCAGTTTTAGCTACTGCCATCTTTCCTTACCATTCAGACATGGCCCTTTCCCCCACTACACCTGTGCTGTGCAGCTGACCCCCTACTAAAATTATGTGGTGGTACACTGCCCACTGATGGCTGCATCGCACTTAAGGCTTGCTGGGAATCAGCTGCCTCCCAAAAGTGTACTAACACAATGTCACAATCCCTTCAGTCTTTCAAATCACAGCATTGACTCGGTCGCAGACTGCAGGGTAAATTTTACCAAGTTATTGTTTTATCAAAAAGGGTCTAACAACCAGAAGCTTTCATCAGGTCACAGTCTGCCTAAGCACTGGCAATGAATAAAACTCACAGTGGAAGCCTACCTTTTACTGTTTTGACAAACATTTGTTTTTCTTTACTAGGATCTTTTTCTTCTATTAGAGTTCCATGGAAAATCCTCCCAAATGTGCCTAAGCATGATGAACAAAGAAAATGAGGCTGACATACATTTCTATACACTTATAATTAGTGATGAAAAGAAACCAAAGGAAGAGATGGACCTTTCTCTTATGAAACTTCACATCTGTCGCTTTTTGGCTGAGCATTTCAATCAATCACACTGTAGCTGCTACAATCTCTTTAGCAATGTCTAATTTAGATATGTTCAAAAAGAAGGTGGTGCAGTTTTAGTGAAGGCCTCTTTGCCAAACATTATGTGGAATATCAGTTATACTCCCTACACACTCAACTTGGTGGAGAGACTGATCAATTGTTTTTTAAACATTAAAGGCAGATCACACTAGCCAAGAATTTGTCTTGAGGGTACATGTTTCTAGGGAACACGTACAGCATGGCCCCAACAACTATCACCAGCCATCTGAAATCTCTTTGGAGAATTCCAAGTAAAAGGTCAAGAAGCATGACAAAGCCCACTGCATGCATATCAAATCATGTGAAAAACTTTTCCCCAATACCTTCTTGAAGAACATCTTTTAGTGTTATTCTCTCTCTGGAGATCGCTATGTCCTTTACTTTAGCTTTTGCCTCCAACAAGGTTACACTTTTAAGGTCATTCTTCTCTATCCGTAAAGTAGGATAACCTGAGGAGCCAGCAGACCCAAACAATACCAATATAAATACCAAATGTAAATACCCTTAACACAAAAATTCAGTTAAATCATTTTGTACAGGTAACACACAACAATTAAAATAGCAGGATATATAACATGGGGGAAAATCCCATGCCACTAGATAGCACGAGACAAATATCTATTGTTTTGGTCATATCTGCAAAACGAATGCAGGACGAACCACAAAATTGCTACTACCCAACAGAATACATGCACTGAAGTAACACCCTGCAATATTTTGACAAGTAAACTGACACATCATTGCCCTCTTCTGGGCTCTAAATGATACTGCTATATAGAAAGTGGCTTCTCTTTTTATGAACATACTAAAATTATGAGCCACACATTTTTGGAATAACTTTAGTTTCTAGTAAGACCTTTCAAGTCCTTTTAAGAAAGTTAAGAGACTCTATTGAGGAAAAATACACTAACGGCAAGTTATGCAAGAGGAAGAAACATCCCTGTCTCAATTCATAGTGACATCAAGAGTTCCAATTAGAGGCAACCATCTTGAACCATCTCTTGTTGATCTGAGAATGGCTAGCTGTACTCTTGCATACCAGACATAGTGTGTGTGTGTGTGTGTGTGTGTGTGTGTGTAATTTGTGGGGGAGAATTCTCTTTCCCCAGCAATTCTCCCCCCTCCACTTCCCTGCCTTAGTATTAGGAGTGAAACATGAGTTGGGAACCTCCTGTTCTTCTAATAAGCAGTTCCTCCCTCTGGCAGCCCAGAGAAACACAGGCCATATAGATCCCAAACCTAAACTTTTCAACAGGATCCAGCTGGCCAGTATCAGTTTGATTCCTTAGAACAGACGCCTTCATTAAGAGAAACCACTCAGCCCTGCTATTAGATTAATACTTACTAGTAATTGGTGTTGCATTGTTGGGTGTGTCAGCCCTCAGGTACTGTGTTGTTTGAGTGGAAGGCTGAGATAAGCCTTGAGAACTGCTGCTGTCACTAATGCTGTTTTAGAAGACAAGAAGACAATGTTTGTAGTTGCTTGTGTAACTGCTTTTTATTTCCTGTTCAAAAACCCAACATTTAACCTGTGCTGGTGACATTACTTTAGCTGTAATGGTAAAGATAAAGGTAAAGGTTCCCTTGCTCGAAAGCCAGTCGAATCCGACTCTAGGGTTGCGGTGCTCATCTCCGTTTCAAAGCCGAAGAGCCAGCGCTGTCCGAAGACGTTTCCGTGGTCATGTGGCCGGCATGACTAAACACCAAGGCTCACGGAACGCTGTTACCTTCCCACCGAAGTGGTCCCTATTTATCTACTTGCAATTTCTTGCTTTCGAACTGCTAGGTTGGCAGGAGCTGGAACTAGAGACGGGAGCTCACCCTGTCTTGCGGCACCTGGGGCTTGAACCGCTGAACTACTGACCTTCCACAGCCTGCAGTTCAGCGTCTTAACCACTTGAGCCACCGCAGCTCCTAGCTGTAATGGTACTAAGCAGTATACTGTGTACAAAGCTGGACACTGTAGCTATAGCAAATCAGCAGAACGAGACTGTCTAAAAAATATAACTGAAAGACTTCAAGTAGTATTCTTAAAAATGCCAGCACACAGTAAAGCCATCCAACTGCACATTTGGGAACTAAAGTTTATCAAACAATTTGCAATTGAAACAATTCAACTTTATACAAGATTTAAAGTTGCTAAAAGAAGAAATCTATCATAAAATCCCAAACGTCAATCTATAGGCTACTAAGATCTTTGTTTTAAATTTCAAATGAGAGTAAAAATGAAAACATGTTTCAAGTTCGTCTGTGTTCAGATGGTGATATGTACAAGACTATAATAATGCATAATTTTGTTGCTAGCCCCGCAGCACTGATCTACTGAAAATTCCAAACACAAATGGCATGTGTTTAAGGCCAACTAAAACCACACAATAGTGTGCGAGCTTTAGAGTTGTCCAAGACTTTTCATCAGGCTGGCTGTTGCAGTCCCCCTTTTGCGGTTATGTGTATGTGTTTTTTAAACAACCAGCTTGATGAAGAAATCTTTAAAACGCAAGCACACTAGGTTGTGATATTTTGGTTGGTTTGGATAGCTTTTATTATTTTTGTAGTGTTCCCAGTGTCCTGCCCTTGATGGGTCAGGCTAATCAGATCTTTGAAACTAAGCAGGGCCAGACTTTCAACTCTATTAAGTCTCTCTATAAGATTTTTAAAATTTCTGAAATTTAACGTACATCTCAGAAGAATCGCAACTCAGGCTATATAAAGAACAAAACATCAAACTCTGCTTTATGTATTTTAAGGCAAGTACGAAACTGCAGAGGTAAAGCGCTATCCTAGATTTACTTAAGTGAAAGAGGTAATTTGAATCTGAAGAACAGCAGACTTTTTGATCCTTTCCCATTAAAACTGATGGAATTCTACAGAGAACCCAGAAATACTTTGGGGAATATGTGATTTTACGCAAGATGTACCCTACTTTGCCCTGACCTGGATAGTCCAGGCAAGCCCAATCTCGTCAGATCTAAGAAGCTAAGCAGGGCTGACTCTGGCAAGTACTTGGAAGAGAGACCTCCAAGGAATACCAGGGCTGGAACACAGAGGCAGGCAATAGTAAGCCACCTCTCTAAAATGTCCAAGCCCCATTAGGGGTCGTCAAAAGTCAACCATTACTTCCAGGCATACACACACATACAAAATACAAAAAAAACCAAACACCAACCCCAAATTAAAAAGATGTCCCCTACCTTCAATACTATATATATATAACCTGAATACACACTTCCTTGACACGTCAAAACTCTTAACCTACAGAAATGTCCAAATAAACCCAAAGATTTATTTTTGACACTGTCGCCATCAAAAATGAATGTGTTGTTAAACAAAAACACATTTTAACTATGGCAGAATTTCAATGACGTAATAGATGCAAACTCTCAGTGGGGAATTCCATCAAGCATCAGCTGTCACTTGGCATGATGGAAACACAGTAAAGGAATGCTTGAAGTACTAAAGAAGTACATGCCCAAAATTATGATTTATAAGTACCTACTTATGAAAAGAGAACAGGTTTCTACTTAGCATACATCCCTTGGTCAGTACAGTTCCACCTTCAAGGAAACCATGAGGCTATGTAGGCTCCTAACCTGATTGTCAGTGAGGTGGTTAAGAAAATATTCACAGAAGTGAACAATCCTGGGGAGGATACCAAGAAGTACCAGCTCTCCTTATAAAGGAACATTAGTTGGGGTCTGTTATGACTGCTTCTTCAGTCTGAGTCAAAATAACCTGTCAATTTAGGTAACTAAAGAAGCATTGCACGACAAGATCTAGGAGCCTTAAGAAAAACAAGATAGGCAATGGAAACATTTTAAGTTCTCTATGTCCACATTGCCACAACTGTCTTGTGAGGCATATAGTAAAGCCAATAAATCTAATGTAAGAAAATAAAGATCCATGCTTTGTTCTTTACCTGTCTTCCAATTCTATTCTCTTCATACTGTGAAGATGCAAAACAGCTAGTATTATTGCTACCAGGAATATGACTGCACAGCAAACTCCTACACTGATATAAAACACACGAGTAGAAGTGGTGGGAGCTGCATTTACAGGATCAACTGAAATTGAAGTGTAAAGTATTACTGCAACAAAATTGAAATAACATTTGCCAGTTTCAATGAATCTCATAAACAACTGTGGAAGGAAGAAGTTTTTTCTTCCCGTTTTCACATTATGCTAGTATTATACTTAAATTTATAATGTAAAAAAACCATGGCAAAGGAAAACGCCAGTGGTAATATTTTTTCCAGGATATTCTGAACCCAATTACTAATCTAGAGACAAAATATACTGTAGTATCTAGATGCAAGTTAAACCTAGATTCTCCCCCCCCCCTCCCTTCAATTTTTGGCGCTAGTATAAAAGTACCACCAAGGATTTAAAGAAATGTCTAAAAGTACATCTGGGGGAAAGAAATTCTGGAAATGCATCAAGGGGAGTCGGGATAAAAGTTGGGAACACAGTTAACACACATTTGAGGGTATGCAATTCCAAAAATGTTGGCTCCCAAGATGAAATTTTACTTCTTGATCTTTTAATTTGAAAAGCATACTGACTAAAATATATTATTTTTATTCTCCATGTATGTCATGCACATACTGTCTATATACTTTTATTTCTAAAGTTTAATTGCACAATTTCTTGATCATGTAAATTTAACTTGATACAGCAACTGGATTTAGTGAAGAAAACCTATAATTAAAAATACATAAATCCAGAATGTAACTGCAAAACTTCCAAACACTAATATTGCAAATGGGCAAAACCAACAACTGCCCATACATGTGTCTTCTCTGTTGTGGCCTCCAACCTTACGGAATGGCCTGCTTGAGGAGGTCAGGATGGCTCCCACCCTCCTGGCCTTTCACAAACTATGCAAAACTGGACAGATTCAGGTGAGGAGCCGTGTTGGTCTGAAGCTCAGGTGGGCAGCCATGTTGGTCTCAGGAAGTGTACTTGCAACGAAAGCTCATACTTTAAATAAAACTTTCTTGGTCTTAAAGGTGCCATTGGGCTCAAACTTTGTTATGCAAAGCTTTATTATTCAAGAGGGCTTTTCTACAGAGGCAATAGGGTAGCACTGTACAAAAGGCTTCACAAAGTTGCACGGATAAATTATCAGTGACTGTGGTCTATACTACTACTATGGGTATATAAAAACATTTTCTGTGACATCCCTGACATCCTCTATAGCAAGTCTTGACCAATTTTATTTGCCTCTATGAGCCAGCCCAAAACATTAGGAGCCAGACTCCTTGTTCATCCTTCAGGGTTTTAGATTTTAATGACCAATTACTATATCTGTGTTGAAATGTATAACAGATTGTAGAAAAGGGGCCATTTGGTTAGAGCTAATGCTTTCTTTGTAATGTACCCACATCATCACCACCTTTTTGCCTAAGCCATTATCACTTCCTATTCTTGATCTGAGTCTACTTGGTTGAATTTATACATTGCATGTTTGACAACATTATTTTTCTCAAACTGATACCACATTTGAGTTGGTACACTGCAGCAAGGTAAATAGAACCTCACTTGGCATAACTGTACCAATCGCACTTCATGAAGTATGTTAACATGACTCAAGAAGTTTATAATGTAGACCATCAGACAGGGCACAAGTAAGCTGATCATCATGATATATTGCTACTATCTAAATGCAAATTTTCTTCTGCTTTCTTCACCACATATTCTGATCTGTTTGATCAAGTATATCAGGTCTGCTCTCTTGATTAAGTTTGTCTTCAGCAGTAACTCTCTCAATCTTATCTTGCAAATAAACATACCAAACCCTTTGACCATGAAATCTGGTAAACAGTGTAGCCTGGTCCAGTGTACTTTGCCATCACTTTTTCCCTCTACCTGAGTCCATAGACAAAATGCTGAGCGACACTTCATGCTTTACTCCATATATCTTATTGTTCAGCTTCATCATTGTCACACTCCAGAAGAGCCTGGCCACCCTAATAAGTTCCAAGAATATGTAGCAGTTCTCTGAAATGCACTTTATTGCACCCTCTTCATTTACACAAATCCTTTTATAATGTGATGTCGCTATTATGTCATTATGGATTTTTAGAGCTTCATGAATTAGAGATGCAGGGTTGGATCATGGTGCAAAGTCTCTGCAGATGGAAGGGATTTTTGTCAGCAAAGCAGGACTTCTTCCCCTCCCTCTCCCATTGTTAGCCCCAAATGCCCCCAAGATGCTGCTCCAGGGGACAGGTAACCTGCATGGATATCATGAGAGAGGGAAGGCTGAGGTCAGATGTGGGATGGGGATTGGCAAATATTACTTCCACATCAGTAGGATTTTCCACAGGATCCAACCCATATATTCCCCAGTACAGAACATCAGGGAATAGTTACAGGTTCCTGGTTTTCAGTTACCAAGTGCCTCGTTGCTCTATACTCATACTTTGCTGGAATCAACAGAGTTTCTTACTGAGGGGCATCTTGCAAGAAGCTGGAGAAAAATGGGTCACCAAACTGAGCTTGAAGTTTTTACTTGAATGCTCTATTGTAATAAGACTTCAGAACAACAGCGGAAGATTCCTTAGCCAACGATTAGAGATGTGGGGTGGAAAATTTTCTATTTCTAAATATACAACAAATGGGTGCCATTGTAAGTACACTATTAAACAAGCCTAGCAATTTTAAACTTGTAATTAATATATTTCAGGTCATTATCCACATAACTATGTGAAAGAATGCATCCACGTTTTACTGATTTGTAAATAAGGAGTGGGAGAGCAAACTATACATATAAAAATCCGAACAAAAATTATGAATTCACCTGATTAGCTTTGGTTTTGATTTGACCTGCACAGCACAAATTCTAAAGTACAGGTCTCTTGTCTCACAGTGGGATACAGTAATCTGCAATCTGAGATGGAACTGGCAAATGATACTACAGAAAGTGACAATGAAAGTGAGGTGTTCAAGTGACCTTAGCAGAAGAGAGTTAAATTTTCTTGAAACAGATGAGTTGATAACCATGTCCACTGCATATCATGCCCAATCCTCTGGGTGTATAAAAATTAGTTTGTTGATTTGTGTATTTTCCTTTGTTCTTTAGTTCTTTACACAATGTAGGGAAGGTATATGCTATGCTGCATCTATATTTTATAAATATTATTTCAATAAAAATTGCCAAGTCTTCAGTTTGTTTGGACTTGATTCCCCCTCCTTCAAATATTTTATTTCAAGTATTTGTTGTTATTGGGACACACAATTAACTTGGGATACTTTTAATTGAGCTTAGTAAATGTGTCAGAAAGCACTAGCAGCAATCCCCTCAACTGGTAGGTGCTCTGGGGAGGGAGCAATGCCTCGACCCCTTCTGGAGGCAGGCAAGATGTCTAGGTCCTTGGTTGGCCCATCCCCACCTCTATGGAGACTAAGGGACAGGGGGAGGAGCTGGAATCTGTCCAGATTGGTAGCCCTTTGCCATTTAAATACCCACCTGCCTTACAGTGGACAGACGGGGCTCACATGCAGGACTGCACAGCTAACACAACATTCCTAAAGCATCTGGAGAGTGAGGCTGAGGCAGGGGAATGCTCCCTTTAAACTTTAAAGCCTTGCCATTGAAAACCCTGCCCATCTTACAGCTGACAAATCTGACGGGAGGATGGCTCATTGACCAAGTGCCCAGTGGCAAACCCATGGCCCCGTTTGAATCTTTAAAGCCATAATCAGAAATTTTTATCCTTGAATTAGTAGATCAAAACTTAAAAATACAACATGGGAACCAACATTTTTGTATTTGGGGTACTCAAACTTAGTTAAACACTGGTTCCTGACTTCTACTGCCAAATGCCTGTTTTCCTCCTTAGGAACATGACCAGTATAAAAGAAACTGCAAGCAAATTATTAAAACCAAATTTACAACCTAGATAATTTTGAAAGGTTCACAGATTATTTTAATCTGGCCTTCAACAATAAGCAAGTTGTCCACTTCATCCTCTACCCAATTTACTCATCACATGATTCCAGTTCACATACAAAAATGCAACATCTGCAGCATGTCACTGATGCTTTCAAGAATATTTCCCCATTATATAAAATCCATGAAAAATTGAATACTACATATTTACATAAAAAACACATTTACTTACAAATAGGTTTGCTGCTATTTTTGTCAGATACTGGTGGTTTTACTTCTAGTTCTAGCTCTAAAGACAAGAGAAGAAAACAGTCTTTTAAAATCACTTTTCCAGTAAAAGTGTGAAGTTATGCAAACTTAAAAAGCAGTTTGGGTTACTAAGGTACTACTGAAGGATGGCAATCTGCTACATAACTATTTTATTTTTAAAAATGTATTATAAAGTGACAACTGAGAAATAGTCCAATGTTGGTCTACAAAGAAAAAATCAGTGTGGTACCACTAACCCCAGCTACAGCAACATAAAGATGCCAGCCTTTACAGATGCTTTCAAACTTAATTCAGTGCTAATTTCCAAAGGTAGCAATGTTTAATCATGGGAATTCAGGGATGAACCCCCCCCCCCAGTTAAGCTAAACTTAAGTCTAAGATTTACAAAGCTCCAAACAAGAGATGAAAGTTGAATTCTTGCAGGCATTAATATAATATCCTGCGTATCTCATGCAGGGGTGAAAACTAGTCAGAGGGTTAAAAATACTGATTTTACTGACCAAAATTCCAAAAAAACTGACCAAATACTGACAAATTACTGAACAATTTAATGTCAGCCTATTGATAAGCTAGCGTTTTAAAAATAAAACTAGGACTTCATTAAAAATTATTATCTGGCCTCCACCATCCCCATAGCCAGATGTGATCCAGATAAAAGGATCGCACACCTTTAAAAATATATATATTTTAATGAAGATAGGACAATGTTTTCATTATTGTACAAAATTGAAGGTCAAAGAAGAAGGTGACGGCAAAGGATGAGATGGTTAGACAGTGTTATCGAGGCAATGAACATGAAATTAAGCAAACTCCGGAGCACGACGGAAGACAGGAGGGCCTGGCATGATGTGGTCCACGGGGTTGCAAGGAGTCAGACTTGACTGTGCGACTGAATAACACCAAAATTTTAAGGCAAAAAAGATTCCCTTTTAAAAATAATCACATACTGCACATAATAAAACAGCAAAACAGCAAAAAGATATTAAAAACACACACATTACTGTAAGGTGAGACTTGTCTTTGCTTTTACTTTATCTTTGGTTTTTTGATGAAAAAAGAAGTTATTAACAAATGTTTCTCAACAGTTTTCTGCACTGCATCTGCAAGTATTTTTTTTCTTGTCCTCTTCTTCTATTGCTTTCTCAATTTCTTCTAGTGTTAGCTGTGCCATGCTTAATCCCACAATATCCATCACCTCTGCTTTCACTGTCTCATGTTTTAAGAGGTTAATTATGTCTCAATACTTTTGTGGAAGATTTCACCAAATCATTTTTACTCTTACGAACAAAGCCCTTAAAGTACTTTATAACTGAACTGAAAACAGTCTTCTCACTGGGAAGTCATCATGTTTCCCCAAAAACACAGTAATGAAAACAAAAACAAAAACACAAATTGCATTCACAAAAATCAAAGAAATACTGACTTTACTGACCATTTTTTTTAAAAACTGACAAATTACTGACCAAGATGAAAAAACTGACTTCTACTGATTTTACTGACCATTTTCTACCCCTGCTCATGCAAAACACACCCTTTCCCTAATTTGAGGCCTTCCTGAAAATCTCGCAAATCACCAAATCCACGTGTACCTACAAGATTATTCCACTGAGGTAAGGAATTGCGAGAAATTCTGCTCCACTAAATACAAAAATGTTTAAACAAATTACAAATGCAGCATTTTCAGCAATTTTCCACACTATAAAAAGCCACTTCTTAACAGATAGTAGAGTTCAAGTATGCCATTTAGAAGCAACCAGAAACTGCACTGTAGTCACCAGGTTCCAAAGTAGTGTATTATAACTTTTTTTTTTTTTTTTAATAAACCCAACTTTCTGGAACAGATGGTTTCTACACACCCAAAGACCCCTGGGCCCCCAATACACCTTCCTTTGCACTGACTGCATATAGGAGTCACAATACTTCCATTTGTCACTAGGGAAATGGAACACTTTATCTGGTTCTTAACAGGGATGAGGAATCATAGGATCCCAGCAGATGGGTAGGTGCCCAGAGTGATTTGCAAGTATGCACTGCATTTTAAAAGGAGGATAAAATAAAACACATTACTTACTTTTGTAACACATTTTCCTCCGTTTGAAATTTAAAACTGTGATGTTTTTGGAAGCATTTGTTGTCATGTTGAGCTGCATAAGTACCGTAACTTCAGAATCAAGCCTGCCAGTGCAAGAGAGTTCTACCCGGAACACTGTAAACAGAAAGCCATACGTGTTCTTAAAACCTGCATTTTTATTCTCTAGATACTTTCACTGTAGTATTTCCTTTGCTACAAGTTATTTTATAATATGTGTGTGTGTGTATATATACACACACACACACATATATATACTAGGAGCAGAGGTCGATTCTGGGGGATCGCGGGGAATCACAGTTCCCCCGGGTGAGGTGCGGAGGGGCAGGGCACATGACGAAGCCCCGTCCCCTGCTTCCGGCCGCCCCGCTTCCGGCCCTCATTCAGCCAGGAGGAGGCAGGAGAAGAGGGAGGGTAAGTTGCTTCCTCCCCGCCTCTCCCTACCCCTGCCTGCCTGGGGCCAGGGAGGGCCTTGGCGGGGCTTCTTCGCACTCCCGCTGACCTTGCAGGTCCACCGCCGAGCCCCTGATGTCAGGGGGTGTGGCATATGCTAATGAGTTATGCTAATGAGTTCCCCTAGCTCTTTTTCTACGAAACGACCCCTGACTAGGAGTAATGCCCGTTGTGGGAAGAAATACAATGAGATCTAGAAGGAAGCTCCAGATGAGTGTCCCGACTGTGGCTGGGGGGGCAGCAGAGGGAAGCGGAAAATGGAGAAAGGCAAGCCATGTTTCTTTCCTTCTGCTTAGCTATAAGGCAGGGCTGTCTCAAGTCATTTTGCTGCCCCAAGTGGGTAGAATGGGAGAACAGCCTCATGGTAACAGATTTGGTTATCTCCACCTCTGACTTATTTTTTGAGGGGGAGGGGGTGTTATGCAGTGGCAGCTAAGGTAGAAAAGCACCTCCTCCTGTGCCATGTTTTCTGGGTTCCAAGGGTCTAGAAAGTAGTTCCATAGCCGATTACATGGTTGCCAACTCTGGGTTGGGAAATACCTGTAGATTTGAGGGGTAGAGCCTGGGGAGGGCAGGGTTTGGGGTGGGGAGGGACCTCACCAGGGTATAATGCCATAGAATCCACTGCCCAAAGCAACCATTGTCTCCAGGACAACTGATCTTGGTCATCTGGACATCAGTTTTAATAGCTGGAGATCTCCAGGTGCCGCCTGGAGGTTGGCTTATGTTAATTTGGGGCTATGCAGTCACAGCTAAGGTAGAAAAGCACCTCCCCTCCAGTGCCACGTTTTCTGGGTTCCAAGGGTCTGGAAAGTGGTTCCATAGACAATTACACGGTTGCCAACTCTGGGTTGGGAAATACCTGTAGATTTGAGGGGCAGAGCCTGGGGAGGGCAGGATTTTGGGTGGGGAGGGACCTCAGCAGGGTATAATGCCATAGAATCTACTGCCCAAAGCAGCCATTGTCTCGAAGAGAACTGATCTGGGTCATCTGGACATCAGTTTTAATAGCTGAAGCCCTGACTGCTACGTCACATTGGCTGTCATACAGGGGCCATCTCAGCAGGATATAAGGACACAGAGTCCACCATTTTCTCCAGGGGAACTGATCTCTGCCATCTGGAAAGCAGGGGAAATTTATTTTACCTCAGAACATTACACCAACAGCAAAATGTTTAGAATGTTAGAGGGAAAGGCCAGTGAGGCCGCATATGCAAACACCTCTGTGTTCTGAGGCAAAGGCGAATCAAGCCACATATGCAAATGACCTCTGTGTTCTGATTGGCTGTGTGGGGGGGAGAGGAACAGCAAACTGTTTAGAATGTTGGAGGCAGGACTCAGGCAAAGCACCTAGTGGATAGGGAGACCCTCTGAATGACAGATCAGCGAGGGAACTAATTTTGGAGCGTGTTGGAATGTTCAGGGGAGTCTATGACCAAAACAGAATTATAATTACCAGAGGATAATACACACACAACCCCCCCTCTAAAATACATCAGATAAAATACAGTAACAATTCCTATATATCTAATCAAAGCCTCAACAGATGGGGTCTATCACAAATTATTTATTTTACTTCATTTCTATCCCACCTTTGTCCCCAATAGGCATCCACATCCTCCCCCTTCTCCATTTTATCTACACAAAAACCCTGTGAAGTAGGTAATGCTAAGAGTGTGTGACTGGACCAAAGTCACTCGAAAAGTCTCCACTGTAGAGCTGGGATTTGAACCTGGATCTCCCAGATTCCAGTCTGACACCTTAACCACTACACCATTCTGGCTCTGGGGGAAAAATGAGTAGGATTCTTTGATCCTCATTATTTCCAGTTCTCCAGAAATGTAGACACATTATATATGTTAACTATAGCCTTCCTGATATACCATTACATGGATGTGTGTCCATACGCACAGCACTTCTCAAACCTTTAAGAAATCCTTATTTTGAATCCAAAATATAGTATAAGTTCAAATATGCTGGAATTTCTTCAGTCATTGCAATGCCTAGTTGTGGCCACTTCAGAAGAAAACAATTTGTTTTGTATTCAGTGCACATTGCTGCCTTGATGAGTTCCACAGAAGACCAGTATAGATCAACAATGATTCCACTGTTATTTTCAGTTAAGAACTGCTCACTGGTCTCTTCTCTCCCTATTCATATTTAGTACTTCTTCAGGAAGCACCTTTCTTTGAATGCCATGACTACTATCATTTAGGTGATTATTATGTTAAGAAAACAAGTCACACTCAACCAATCATTTAGAATTCCTTGAGGCCATTAGCAAACATATAAATAAAGATAGCCATAGGCTTTGAAGAGTGGGAGCAGCCACAGTCTGGCTTCTTCCCATACCAGAATAGTAATGTTAAAATCTTGGGCCCATATGGGGGGCTACCCATCTTACAGATCCGCCCACAGTATCAGTACTCACCAGCCCAGAAGCAGAGTCACCTTTAGTGCTTCCAAGTGTAAGAAAATATAATTACTAACAAAACACTACTTACCTGATAGGGTACGAGGGACTTCTCCTTGTAGAGAAATATTTACCTGTGGCATATCCATAGCCAACAAGTTGTCAACTTGAAACCCCAGTTTATATTCAATCTGCAAAAAAAGGAGGGACAATAAAGCAAAAAGAAACATGCTTACTAATGGTGGGGCATATTTATATTTCCTAATTTAGATTAAGATTCAAAATATGTTAGAGACGTAGCTATCCACCCAAACAAAATGATCATGGTGTAAATTCAGAGGAACTTAACAACTTTCACATTTACTTTGACAAAGATATTTATGTACTTCCCAGCCTAGGAATAATGGGACAACCCTAGATGAAAGCCAATGGTGTGGCTGTACAAGGAGCATATGCTAAACTACAACTACTTCATAAATTCATGTTCCCACAGACTGTATTCCAGCCTCGTACCCGGAAAATTTTCATTAGGGGTGCACCAAGATGCCACCTGAGGAGGGTGGAGTTTGGGGTGGGAAGGGGGAGGGCTGGCCGAAGCTGTGGACCCACCCAGTGCCTGCCTTGGTGTGCCTCCTAGCCCACCTCTGCCTGTTTGCCTGGCTCCCCAGGGGGCAGCAGTGCTGCGCTGCAAGGGGACCTGCTCAAGGAGTAGGCAGCGGTGGGGTAGTAGCAAGCAGCAAGGCAGCCCCAGCCCCACACAGCACCCTGTCACACTTGTCTCCATCCCTGCCGCCCTCCTTCCTGCTGCAGGCAGGTGGTACAGGACAAAGCGCAGGGAGGGATAACTTCTTCTGTCTGACAGAGGGACTCCCTACACACTTTCACCTCCTCCTTCCTCTGCTAGCCAGTGGGACCCAGGGTGCCTGTGCTCTGCCTGCAGCCGCCCAGGGCTCTACTGGCGCTGCCTCCCTCCACCTGCCCAAGCAGGCCCTATCTGGCAATCACAACGGGGCTGGCAGAAAGCTGAGGTGGGCACTTCGGTCTGGGAGGAGGGGAGGCACAGCTGTTTGGGGAGGGTGCCAGGTACTCGTGGGTGTGTACCGGCCTGCTGTACTCCTATACTGCAAGCATACTTTTATTTAATGTGGTATGGGTTCAGACTGCTTAAAGCACAGTTACCCCATGATATTTGCTTCCTTCCATGGCTCCAGCATTAGAAGCGCTTGTCCTTCTATGCACTGGTATGCCCTGTGGACTTCCTGCCTAACATCTCCTAGTAACTGTGACAGACAGGAGGCTGTCCTGCCCCTGAAGGGAAAAACAGCCACTCAGCTGAGTCGATGAGAGTGCTGGAAAATGCTCCAGCATTCAATCATCTTTTAAAAGGAAGATGAAATGTTGGAGGGGATCACAGCAGACATTTATTCAGGTCTGCTTCAAGGAGAGTGCAGAGATAGTTCTGGGTTTGCCTCAGTAAAAGAGCACGCAGTTTGAAGGGTAGCTTTGCCTGGTAGCATGGCAGAATGGATTTGCTTTACCTCTGGGAGAAAACAGAGTACCCAAAAGTTAGGCCTGTCACTGGTGATGAGCAGACTTTGCACCTGACTCTTGGGAAAGGGCAGGCTGATGTGGGGAAAGGATCCAACTTTGTGACTAGTCAGTAAAATCCTATGTGTACCTGAAAGCATTAAAGAGAATTCAAACCACTGTGCCCTAACTGGCTTAAACATATGTGCCTCATCCAAGTTTCTCCTTTGACTACATGCAGACCTGTGCTGCTGATCTGTTCTTTAAAAACAGCTTGTACATAAATAAATCTTTGTTATTTAGATACAACTGTTGTCTCCTGTGTTCCACTTGCTCACCACAAAGCTTATCTCATGGCAGCTAACCCAAAGCCTTTACACTTGCTACCCTAAAAACATCTTGTAACTCAGGGGAAGATTCACAGTTTAAAACAAACCTGGTTCCCCAAATCACAACAGGCTGTGTGGGTCACCTCAGGTGGTAGAAAAGGCATGTCATAGTAATTAATATGTTATTGCTTCTTCTTTTTTAACCACTAGTACAATGGGAAAAAATTAAGAGTGGCAAACCGGCCTACTTATATGCCATCATGGAGACTCTTGGAACTCATGTAATAACTGAGCAGCTGTGCAGGCATTTCAAAGGGGAACAAAAGTAACTGCAAATCTTGAGTTCAAGAAGAACACATATCCTTGCAAAACAATGTCTCTTTATGGCTAATCAACAGAGTTTCCTACTCTAAATAGATGCAAATTTCTCATTTCTAGATGCTGTTAGCTTACAGTAAGCAGCTCAGAGATATATTACAGCTGCCTCCAATGACATCATCCAACACTAATAAAAAGAATCCAAGGGAAATTATTTTTCTGCTTTAATAACTACTCTAGCTTTTTATCCTATAATACTAGAAGTTGGAAACACCCAATGAAGTTATTGGGCAATAGACATAGTACAGACAAAAGGAAACACTTCTTTATGCAACAAGTCATTAAATTGTAGAATTCTCTGCCAGTGAAAGTAGTGATGGCCATGAACATTAATGGCTTTAAAAGGGGGTTTAGACAGATTCATGGAGGATAGGTCCATCAAAAGCTAATAGGCATGGCTAGTATTTATATCTTACAAAATTTATATCGAGCCTTCCTGCTCTCATAAGGGCCACTAAGGCAGCTAACAAATAAAAATTTACATAAAAGCACATCTTAAAACCAACAAAAACACATCATTAAAGCCATTAAAATCAGAGCTAAAATACATATACAAAACATAAAAGCAACAATTAACACATTGGGGAGAATGGAAGGATCACTGAGGAAACAAAAGTCTTTACCCACTGGTGGAAGATATCAACAGTAAGGTTAGATAAGTCTCCATGGGGATACAATTCCAGAGTTTTGGTGTCACAACCAAGAAGGCTCTCTCCCAGTTTGCCACCTGCTTTATGTCAGAAGGTGGGGGACCCAAAGCACAAACTTGGAAGATTACCACAGTGGTCAAGTAGGCTCATAAGTCCGTCCAATATGTTGGTCCCAAACCAAAGAGGGCTTAAAGGTCAACAAAAGCACCTTGAATTGTGCTCAGAAACAGACTGGGAACCAGTGTGATAGGCCAAGACTATAGATATGGTCCCGACAACCCACCCTAGTCAACATTCTGGCTGCGGCATTCTGCACTAGTTGACGTTCCAAGGGGAGCCCCATATAGAGTCTATTCCAGTAACCCAGGCATGCACCACAGTGGCCAGAACTTTTTTTTGCCCAGGGAAGGCCACAGCTGGCTAACCAGTCAAAGTTGGTAAAATGCACTCCTGGCCCCAGCTACTACCTGCTTATCCAGTAGTAGCCTGGGTCCAAGAGCCGTTTCCGACTACAAACCTGTTCCATCAAAAATGGGTGACACCCTAAATCTCGGGTCAGACCTTCAGCTCACCAATAGCACCTCTGTCTTGTCAGGATAAAGCTTCAGTTTATTAACCTCCAAACAAAGTCCAGGCACTGGTTCAGGCCTTCCTGAGATCAGCCGGAAGTGCAAGACAGAACTGAGTATCATCAGCATATTGGTGAAAACCCAGCACAAAATTCTGGATGGCCTTGCCCAGCAGTTTCATGCAGATGTTAAAGCATATAGACAAGATGGAGCCTTGCAGGCTGAGCAGCAGTCCCCAGCATCACTTTCTGAAACCTACCTTCCAGGTAGGAGGGCCAGTGTGATATAGTGGTTAAGAGTGTTGGACTAGTATCTGGAAAAAACAGGTTCAAATCCCCACTTATGCCATGAAAGCTTGCTTGCTGGGTGACCCTGGCCCAGTCACACTCTCTCAGCCTAACCTAATTCACAGGGTTGTTGTGAAGATAAAATGGAGGAGGGGAGAATGATGTAAGCAGCTTTGGGTCCCCACTAGAGAAGAGGTGGGGTACAGATGAATTAAATAAATAAACAGGACTGGAACTACTGCAAAACAGTACCTCCCAATCCCAGCCCAGGAAGGCAGTCTAGAAGGATACCGTAATTGATGGTATTGAACGTTTCAGATTGTTAGACCTCACCCATTCTTAAACTGCCTCCAGGCACCTGTCCGTGGTTTCCTCAACCTCCCTAGGATCTGTTGGAAACGTGAGATAGAGAGTACCATATTGGTAGCAATTCAGCCCAAATCTCATGGAACCCCAATTCCAAAGGGCTAAGCAGCAGTCCCCTAGCACCACACTCTGAAACTTACCTTCAAGGTAGGACCAAAACCATTGCAAAACAATGCCTCCCAGTCTCAATCTCAAAAGGCAGTCCAGAAGGTTACCATAATTAATAGTATCAAAAGCCACAGAGAGGTCCAGGAGAATGAACAGTCACACTGCCTCCATCCATTTCCGGGCACAAGTCATCCACCAGGTGACCAGGGCTGTTTCAGTCCCATAACCAAGCCTAAAACTGGATTGGAATGGATCCAAACAATGTGCTTCATCTAGGAAAGCTTGAAGATGTCCAGCCACCATCTGTTCAATCACCTTGTTCAAGAACGGAACATTTGCACTCCCTTTCTTAAGGATATATTTATTACCTCTCTGACCCACTCAAGGCTCCCGCCAACAGCAGATTTTATTTACTTATTCAAAATACTTCTATGCTGCCTTTCCATCCAAATAGGTCCCCAAGGCATGACCAGGAAGGATAGTATGACAAGGGTCAAGCAAGCATGTGGTAGGCCTCAAATTTCCAAGGATCCTGCCCACATTCTCAGAATGAATAAAACTGAAAAGTATCCCAAAGAGCCGAACAATTCAGAACCTCCATTTTCAAAGGTAGTAAACCTCTAAAGCCCAGTGGTAGAAGACAAATCAGGGAACAACTTGGCCTCTGTGCTATGTTTGTTGGCCCTCCAGGGCAACTGGTTGGCCACTGTGTGAAAAAGGATGCTGGACTAGATAGACCACTGGCTTGATCCAGCTGTGCTCATCTTATGTTCTCATTTAAAGGCAGTTTTCTATTTCAAAAGCCTGATGTCTGCAAACATGCAAATCAGAGTGTGACTGTTTTGTTACAATGCTATAATTTTACCAATTAGAAGCAGCCAGATTGTTTAAAAAAATACTGAAGTTTTTTTAATGGCTGTTTCATACATACAACATTCTACAATAAAGATCCTTGTTGCACAGGACACAAGTATTTCAGATGCAGCAACACCATTGTATCACCATAAGACAGACCCACTGCATTAGAAACACAACCAACATAAGAAGCTGGCAGAAACAGTTTTAGGGTCAGGATGCCAAACATACCAGATATTTTAATTTATTCAGAGACTGGGTACACTTCCTGCCACTTCATTTCCTTAAATAAGATCATCTTTTTACTTTGAGAGAAATCCATGTAAAATGAAGTGATGAATCAACATTCCTCTGCCACTGAAGCAATCAAAAGAGCCATTTCTTAACAGATGGTAGAGTTCAAGTATGCCACTTAGAAGAAACCAGAATCTGCACTGTAGTCACCAGAATCTACAAACTTTGACACACAATAGAATTTTGTGGCTTAGTTTACCTGCATTTAATAAAAGATAGTTGATGCTTACCTTTGCCTTAGCATGCCAACTGAAATGGAGGCTGTTTGTCTCACTGGGTACTAAGAGATTGAATGACAAGGCATAGTGATTGATAAGATCATTCCTCACATAATAGAGTTCTGCATCAATACCTAGAGTGTTTTAAAATGGGAAAGAAAAAAAACAGGTGAAACATTTAGCTACAGCCACACCACAGGTGACTTTCAGTACAATAAAAAAAAATTTGGTTGGGCTTAGGAATATTATTTTTTTAATAAAAGGAATCTGCCACCTCAGAAATCATAAACACAGCAAGCCACAAAAATATGCCAGGTACATAAAAACAGCAACCCCCACCCCCCAAACAGCCTATTCATAAAACAGTTCTCAGATTAGAGGAAGACAAAAACCCTCCCGCTCAGTGGTGAAACCCCTCAGTAAAAGGCCTGAGTAAAAAGAAATGTTTAGACTTAGTATCTCAAGAGCAAGGCACCAGATGGCTCTCAAAAACAAGGTGCCATCACTGAAATACCACTCCCTGGTTGCCAAAACTTGCATGTAAATTTCAGTTGCAGTGAATTTTTTCAATGACTCGGGGTCTTATGGTTATAATTAGTTTGCATGTACTTGGTCAAACTGAGAAAGAGGATAATTCAACTGATTGATTTATATAATTTTCCCCAACCTACTCTACTGCTCCAAACTCCAACCAGGTGCTTGCAGGACCCGGCAACCATCAATGTGCATTCCACACCCCACCTCCTTAGCTGTACATGCTGGGAAATTATAAATGTCACCCTCTTCTCTACTCTAAGACACTGCGCTCTTTCACAACTAACTTAAAGACAAGTTAAAAGGAAAGTGGGAGATGCTGATACTTACAGGCAGCAGCAAACATCTGCCCTAGAAGGGACATTATTTCGGACCTTGGATCACTTAGTTCAGTTTGTGCAGAATGTTAGTAAGTGTGCCACAGGCAATCTTGTATTGATAATGCTACTGTGCCTTATGCTACAACCCCATATCAAGGAACCATGTAGCTCTTGCATGTGCACCCAGCTGGGGATAGCACAGCTGAAGTTGCCATACTATTCATTCTAACATTAAAGCTCTTAGGGCTGATTCAAATAATTGTAATTTCAGATGTTGTTATAGTCTCCTACAGAGACATCCTGTGGGGTTCACGTCATGAAAACACTTCATGTTTAATTAGGCTACTCTGGAGTGAGTACATCTAAGAACAGATTCACATATCCTGATCTCCAACAAATTCTCACCAAAGCCAATTCTTATACATTATAGCAGGAATATTCTACAGGGACAGGAGAAGATCTGGGATCCATCACCTATTTCTTCTTCCTTTGTAGTGGAAACAGTATAAGGATCCCAGCATACACACACAGACACTGTTATGTCATCCATGCTAGTATGGAAAGTATACATTATATGCATAATTAAGGCTGTCATGAAGTTTTAAGAAGTGAATTCTTTTTTCAGATATGTAGGATACCAGCATACACACAGGGGGTTGGGACTGTATGACTGTATGACCCCTTCCAACTCTGTAATCCTATGCTTCTAAGGACATAATAATGGAGAGTCAAAGGAAATTTTCTTAAATCATCTCTGCCACCACAGAATAATAAACTGAAAGGAGCAGAACCAAAACACCAATTCGGGTATCAGTTTTTCCATTAATTAAGACTTGCCATGATTCTGTTATAATTATTTACACTGAAGAAAACATCTCTCCTTATATATAATTGAATAGTGGGTGCCAAAGTTCTAAAATGCACTCCTTTAGTGTATGGATGCTTGAACTGTCAGTCAGAAGACGCTGGCTGGGTTGACTGGCTGCTTTGTGCAGTCCCGCCCAGTGTTTCAAGGTCGTTTGCATATGGAAGCTGATTGGACTTCACTGCATTCCACACCTCAAACTCACCCCCCTCCCCGCAAGGCAGTTGGTATGTCAGTTGCATATGGAACCTTCAAGGTCTTTTGCATATGGAAGCTGATTGGACTTCACTCCATTCCACACCTCATACTCCCCCCCCCCGCAAGGCAGTTGGAATGTCTGGTGGTGTGTAGGTCCCAGGATCATGTTTTAAAAGCTGACTGGGGAGATGGGGACCTCAGACAGGTTACAGTGCCATAGACTCCACCCTCCAACCCAGCTATTTGCTCCTGGGAAACTATTGTTGCCAATCTTGGCCCAGCACCCATCAAACCATTCTCTTCAACCCCCTGCTGTGCAGCACACTTTCCCCTAGGGTTGCCAATCTCCAGGTGGGACCTGGAGATCTCCCACTGCTACAATTGATTTCCAGATGACAGAGATCAGTTTCCCCTGGAGAAAATGGCTGCTTTGGAGGGTAGACCCTATGACATTATACCTGCTGAGTCCTTCCGCCCCCCCCCCCAATGCTGCCCT